ATTAAACATAACTGGCATAATTTAATTCTATTGTAAATTATCCTGCTGCCCTAATTCATCTGCACCAAATATGTTTCCCCAACCGAAACCTTAAAGCACAGAGAGTAACGAATCCTATAAATATTTACATACATGACGATGATAAAATTTACTGGATAAATTACCTATAGAACAAGAATATCTATTGATAAAACCGAATTATTATAATAATAAATTATGGTAGACGGTGCTCCTTAGCTATATTAAAGGCCGTCTATCTAGTAGAAAGAAAACCTTCCTTTGTGAAAACCATATAATTAGAATATAAAATTCCCGGTTGGTATCTGGCACGAAATAAACCACCTGATGGAGAAGGTTTGGTTTTGTTTACCGGCATATCAACACGTCTTGGGCCATTTAATGCCAAATGCAAAATACAGTTTTATGGTTTCAACTAAATATATATTGAAAACAATTGCAAGCCTTCAACTACAGATAAAATATATTGTTGGTCATTTTGCTATAAAATTTATTGTTGGTAATTTTATTATAAATAGGTATTTTTTTATACTTTCACAGTGTTTTTTTTTTTTTTTTTTTTTTTGGAAAGGGTTCACTATTTGCTCATAGCTAAGATCCTAACAGGTTTTACCAGTTCGGATTAGGTTTGACATAAGAACAACAGCAATTAAGAGGTGGTTTCAAAGTCCTCAAAATTTTTAATTTCTCGATCACAAACCTTTGTTCCGGATCTAATGTATCGTCATATCCAGGACTTTGATGGAAAAGGAAAACTTTCTCTAAACTTGTTTGTGTATAAATCTTCCCAAGCCGTGTCTCCGAGTCTGGCGCCCTATTTCAAGTTGTCCATGTCAGCACAGAAGATTCGGCTGGGTAACCTAGCAGGAGAAGATCTAATCAATGATTTCAAAATCAGATTTCTCGACACTTACCATTCGACCACAAATGCAGATCTGCAGCTCTGGACTGAACTGACAGCAGCTATCAGAGGTCCACTTCAGCAGTTCCGATGTGTTACATACGAGCAGAGTAAAATAGACAGGGCTACTCAAAGCCAAACGTCCCCATAAAACCAAATTTAGTGTCATTCGTGGAATTAATATATGAATTGTTAAAACTATTAAATTTATTTCAATGATATCATATTAATAATTTTAATATTTTTAATGTTTTATCGTTGTTTTTTTTTTTCAGTTCTTTGTATCTGGGAGAGAATTTTTCACAAATTCTTAAAACCTTCCATTTATTAATTTATCATTGATAAAAGTTGATAGAAGTAATATTGTTCAGAGTGTCCCGAAAGACTGGACACATAGGCGAAAATGAATATTTTTAAGAAATAAAAATTTCAAAAACATTTTTTTTGAATTGGAATATTAACAAATAATATCTTTAAGGGGGTTTCCATCATTTGTGATGCAAAGGTTGACGACCGTTGCAAGATGCACGTGAACTCTATGCAATAATTCCACATTGCCGTCAATTTTAGCACATTCACACTTTATGCGTTCAATCAAGTCTGTTGCATCCGTGATTTTCATTTACATCTTCTCCTTTAGCATATCCCAGAAAAAAAGACAATTCTTTTTTTCTTCCGACAAAACCATGTTTAATTTGCGGAGATAAAAAGAAATCATGTAGTTAATGAGATTTCCTGTGTGTTCAGACTTTACGGACACCCTGAGGTTTAATGTGCTCGCCATACATTCCAAACATGCATAAAAGCTTTTATCGGTCTTTCTGTCATTGATGGTGGCGTTCGTTCCAAAAGTTTTGTTAAATGTTGTGTGTAGAACTAACATCTTGATTATAGCTTTATTTCCCATTCTACAGACTGTTCCTAAAGTCTGGAGACATAGGCAAAAATGCATATTTTCAAGAAACTGAATTTTCAACAACATTTTATTGAATTGGAATATTAACAAATAAGATCTTCAATATGATTTCCATCATTTGTGATGCAAAGTTTGATGCGCTTTGCAAGATACACGTGAACTCGATGCAATAAATCCACATTGCCGTCAATTTTAACACATTCACTCTTTATGCATCCAGTCAAGTGAGTTGCATTTGTGATTTTCATTGAGTACACCTTCTTCTTTACTATATCCCAGAAAAAGAAGCCAATTCTTTTTTCTTCCGACAAGATTCAAAAAAAAATTTCGCTTGAAGATGGAACAGAGATTACTTTAACTCAATTTAATTCAAATAATTATATTGAAGTTTTCGGCTCTTGTTTTGAAACATGAGATCTCTTATGTCGCGAGTTGGAATCATATTTTTAAATAAATAATTATATATATATATATATATATATATATATATATATATATATATATATAGCAAAAAAAACAAAAATTACCTCAACATGGGATTAGTCTATTTCAAACTGCTCTGTACGCAGCTATCATCAGCCCTTAAGTGTCTGTCTCAAAGCATTGTTTTAAATTTAATTTCAATGTCAGTCCTCCTCTGGTAGACGCTTTGTTAATCAGATGGGTTTGTATTAGCGACTGGTGAAGGGCGTAATGTATCTTCTTCCGGGGAAGCGTTCTGGGGTTGGAGTTTATTTATGGCTAGAGCCTTACGTTGCTTTGTAGCTAAATTTCGGTCCCTACTAATCGACGTTTTCTATACAATCCCAAGTGTGTTTTCCTGGGATTTACAATAAATAGTTTTTATACTACAAGAGTCCAATATTATTAATATGATGGGGGATTTAAACTTAAACTCGTTAAGATTAAAGTGAATTAGTTGAGTTATAGGTTTATAGATTGTGTGTAATACCAGAGCACCTAATGGAATAAACCATGCTGTGCAACACAATTATATATGCGTACATATCTTCACACATACATCTATGTCCATTTACATATACATACATATAGGCCACTATAGGCACACATACACCACCCACATATATACACATGTATTCTTATATTTTGAATCTATTCTTAATGTTTACATTTCGTGATTAGTTCTCTCCTTTGATTTAAATGTTTGCATTGATCTTTATATTTAATTATTCTGATTTTTTTCTTCTAAACGTAGCTTGCACCTATCACTAGAATTATTGGTGGGGGGTGGGGTCGTAAAACCTAAAGCTTTCTAATTTATTTGATGATTCAGTCCTTTGTCCTTCAATTCCCAAATTTTTTTTCGAAAAAGCTGTTTGGTGTTTTAATTTTGGATTGCTGAATGAATGTCTATGTGTATCGATTCTCTTTTTAAATTCACCTGCAGAAATGCCGCTGTAAATATTATGGTTTGTCATATATTATTTAGGGGTAATGGTTGCCTGATATACTACCCTAGTAGATATGCATTTGACCTCTGCTGAGCAGTTTTCCATAATTCTATAATTACAGGGGGTTTCAATGTTAGATTTAGTTTTTTTGCCTATGGAATTTACTTAAAATGTAATTGTTATGGGAATTAATAATTAATAATATTATTAGTGCAGGAGTAGCTAATTATAACTGACTTCCTGTTGAATATATTGTTAAGAGGAGTTTTTTGTTGAAGGGTTTCGTAATTAAATATATAAAGTAATGTCTGATACGTGACAGTTTGCAGAAGGCGTGGTTGAACCAAGTGATTTTTCTTTTCCTATTTTTACACCTACATCCCACATTTCGTGTATCAAAAAGTAGTTTAAACAATAAGCTGTCTTACGGGGTCACTATTAGTAATACCAATAACAACATTTACCGACCTGAATACCGAAGAAATTACTTTGAAAATATATGTCCTCGAACAGAAATCGAACCTGCATCGTACACGTAAGCATCACATAGCCAGACGTGTTATACTATGTAACTACAGAGTAAGCGTCTGGCTAGAAATGTCAAATTACTGCTTTTAAGCTACAAATTTCACATGATTTTACTCGAACGCTCATATCTACTCGAACCGTTTCTTAACGTAAACAAATGACGTCATATATTATGAAATGGAGTAAGTTCGACAATTATTTTAATGAATTTATTGATTATACGTCATTCTTATAGATACAAATATTTAAGTAAATGCTCTGTTTATAATAAAAAGTATTAACAACATTTACCGGCCTTTACGGAAGACACATGTATATATGTATGTATTACGATTTTATTGTACAAATTTTTCTCCATATCCAAACGTAGCGTACAACGTTTTCACTCTACCCACATGTGAACAAGAGAGCCCCAGGGATCACATTGTACATACATGAGGTCGTAATTAAATAACAGATAATAATGTGCTATTTGTGCAATCTGGCGTTTACTAGATACAAACATATTTTTTAATACACACACACACCAATATATATATATATATATATATATATATATATATATATATATATATATATATATATATATATATATGTGTGTGTGTGTGTGTGTGTGTGTGTGTGTGTATGTGTGTGAGTGTGTGTGTGTGTGTATTTTACGCCATTGCTAATGATAAGAGAAATCGATAAATTGATCTATAAATCATGTATACCATGTAAATTGTTGAAGAATTTCAAATTTAGAGGCAACAAAAATTGGAAATAATTAAAATTCCTTCAGAAGTACTCATCATCGGGTTTCAATGATAAAATAAAAAAAATATTAAGTACTATATATAAATATATATATATATATTATTTTTTCTTGATTTATCACTATATCGCTCTAACGTAGATTGAACTATCTTTCGATTAATGTCCTCCTTGGAATTATTATTATTTTCAATTACATTGGTATTATATATATATATATATATATATATATATATATATATATATATACAGGGTGTTGCAGCAAAATCCGACACTTGACAAAAAGAAAACGAAATAGGCAATAGAAAACAAAGTTATATATGCAGAGATCCAACAGTTTGACAACTAACTAACGTTTTTCTCTCTACCCTTTTCCAGGATGGAATATGAGCGCAGAGCAGTGGTAGTAGCTTCGTTTCGCGTCGGGAAGAAGCCTGCGTAAGTGATGGCCTAGTTTGGGTTCAAGAGGACCATGGTCATTGATATTTGGAGGAAGTGGAAGGCGTGTGCGAACAAGGACGAGTTTACTGCCAAACGGAAGGCCCACAACGTTCGTTCTTCGGCCGTTAAGACCGACAAGTTCGTCGCTTCCGTCAAGGAGACAGTCGACAATGATGGAAGCCAGAGCTACACCAAGATCACCTCTGACATGGGCTGTCACAAGTCAACGATCTGCCGAACAATCAAGAAGCATATTGGTTACTCCTTCTACCGCAAGTCTCACTGCATGCTCATCATGATTACCTCCAAGAAGTCGAGGAAGGTCAAGGCGGCGGCTTTGCTGAACGAGCACGGGTCCGCCGGGATGCTGAGGTTATTCTCTGATGAAAAGAATTTCATCCAGGACCAGATGAGCAACAGGCAGAACGACAGGTGGATCCGCAACGACATCGAGGAGGTTCCTGTCGTGAAGCATACGAAGTTTCCCTCCTTGGCGTTATCACCAGCGATGGGGACGTCATGCCTCCGTTCTTCTTTCAAAAGGGCCTGGGAATCACCGCTGAAATCTACCAGGAGGTGCTGAGGAGCGTGGTGTAGACTTGAATGGACGAGATCGCCGCCCGACGTCCGTAGGTCTTCCAGCAGAACTCCGCTCCTGCACACAATGCCAAGACGACTCAGGCGGGGTTGCTCAATAATGTTCTTCACCACTGGTCGTCGGACATGTGGACGCCCTCCTCACCCGACTGCAAACCCTTGACTATTTCTTCTGGGGCATCTGAAGGCTGCCATCGTTGAGGCGTTCGCCGCTATGGACAAGGACATGGTCGCCAAAGCCTGTGACTCATTTCGCGCCCGCCTTCAGATGGTCGTTGCCGCCAGCGGTGGTTTCATTGAAAAATATTGTATTACATAACTCTAAATGTTGCTAAATAAACTATCGGGTTTTGATTGCCTATTTCGAACCTGTATCATATACGGAACCGTAATATAGCATGACGTGTCTTTAACCGGTTCGATTCCTGCTGGAGGACGAATATTTTCTATGAAAATTTCTCGGACATTCAGGCCGGTAAATGTTGTTTAATACTGTTTATTATAAACAGAGCAATTACTTAAATACTTGTATCTATTAGAAGAATGTATCAAACATAAAAATGTCTTAAAATAATTGTCGGACTTTGTCCATTTCATAATGTGTGACGTCATTTGTTTACATTTGGTACGCCATGAGCAGATATGAATGTACGTGAGAGATTCATAGAAGATTGAAGTTCAAATACAGTAAATTCGACTTTGCTAAACGAGTGCTCCAATGTGGCCAAATCGGTTAAAGGCACGTAAAGCTACGGTTCCGTATAGGATGCAGGTTCGAATACTGTCGGAGGACGAATATTTTCTGTGAAAATGTCTCGGACATTCAGGCCAATAAATGTTATTAATACTGTTTATGATAAAACAAAGCATTTACATAAATATTTGTATCTATAAAAAAAAATGTATAAACATAAAAATGTCTTAAAATAATTGTCGGACTTTGTCCATTATATATATATATGGTTTACTATATACACGCTATAAATAGTTTGAAATTATTTTGATGGAAATACGCAAAGATATCGAGAAATACGTAGGAATGTCTGTCTGTCTATCTATCTATCAATCTACAAACACATATATCTATATATATATATATATATATATGTTATATATTTAATAAGGAAGTTTTATAGAAATTGTGAGAATGCGTACGAGAAAGGTAGCGACAGTCTTCATCAATATCTATATATCTATCTATTGTTATTATTTATCTCTCTTTTAAACGAAAATTAATTCTATGAATATAACTCAGTTGTTCCTGTCTCTCTATCAATGTATCCTAGCCTGTGCATTATTCCTCCCTCTCTCTCTCTCTCTCTCTTAATCTATGTCTGTCTGTCTGTCTGTTTCTCTCTCTCTCTCTCTCTCTCTACATACATACATATATATATATATATATATATATATATATATGTGTGTGTGTGTGTGTATCTATTACAGTGAGAAAAGTGTAAAAATTGTGATAGTGGGATAGAGCGAGATACTAACCTTATCAATACATATAATCTTAAGCAATTACACACGCACACACAAACACACACACACATACATACATACATAGATACATACATAGATACATACATATATATATATATATGTATGTATGTATGTATGTATGTGTTACTCAACAATCATAGAACAATGATTTATGTATTTCGTAAATAGCCAAACAGGAAAATATCCTAAAAAATGAATAACAAAAAATTAGACTGCATGAAGATTGTTAATCTATTAACAACAATTGCCCCACAATTCTGTATGTTACCGAAAGAAATAACATTGATTAACAACAATTCAAAATATAGTGTTCTTTAACATACGCGTCAAAAGAGATAATTATTTCAATGGATATTATTCTAGGCCCATAAGGGAAAACAGGTTAAATAAAATTCGGGCATTTCCGCAGTTCGTATTCTAAATAATAATCGCTG